TTTTAAATCGTAATGTTTTGTAATGTCAACATCTAGGTAAACAATTTTATATAAATATTTTATGCATGTATCTCTAACTTCTCTTTTATTACATGAAATATTAGAACTATAAATAGTTTATTTTTATGGCTGTATTAAATAATATTATGTAACGATCCGTATAAATGATCATTACGAAACCGGTTCGATAAACGCATAACAACGCGACCGCGAAAAAGAAACATGAGAGGACAACGTGTCCTCAGGAAAACAAACACCAAGACCGTCGAACATCCGTGGTAGATAGCGAATCAAGCGTGATTCGCAAATATAAAGCACCGCGAATTCTAGATCGGGATCAGATTCCGATCATCCGCTTTTCGAGAGATCAGAATATGATCCGCTCTTTAGAGAGATCCGAACCTCCGCTACCGAATAAGATTACTGAACCATCTTTTCGACTACCGTTCCTGGTGGACTTCCGTTCGCGAATACGCGACAGGAGTCACTTCGCAAGAAATAGCGCAGTAAGGTGGTAAACTAGAAACATGAAAGTGTGTGAGGTCTCGAGTTCGCGTTCGATCAGTACTGGCCAAATTTTCAGGTGCGAAAATAGTGAGAAATCAAATAAAAGAGCTAAATTTCATTTAAAATCAACATAAGCTGACTAGTTGCAACCGTTTCTGCAAGATATATATTATTTTAACCAGTGTCATACGTCATTGTTGCGTCATTTTATATAAAAAAATGACGTCATTAAGTCGTCGTACATATGACGTCATTGGTCTGTGACTTAGGACCGTCAAAAAGACGTCATTATTTGGTTAACTTGAAAGATAAACGACGTAAAATTCAGAATCAATTTTTATATATAAGGACATTTTCAGGATATTGGTAGGATTAAATATTGTTATCTACGCACATCCGTTGCCGTCGACTCACGAATATGTGATATCGGCACTGTTTAACCAGATCACTCCTGGCAGACTTCCATTCGCGAATACGCGACAGGAGTCACTCCGCCTTCGGCTCACGTTTTCGTGACGCTGAGCTAAATACCGTCATCCGTCAAATTCCACGGCCAACGAAGGTCCGGGAATCAATCCGCCGGAAGAGCGCTTTAAAGCGACCTTCACACCGTTAACCGGATCTCGACCCCGCTTTAAAGCAAGCGAGATCACACCGTTATCAAGTTGCAGTGTGCGAACTCACTTCCATAGCGTCGAAGCATCGCTCCATTGCAGCGCAGCTTCGACACCGTGTCATACTGATGCACGATAGGATTACACCGTCGTTGACTCGCCAGGACGCGAGTCGGCCTCCGAATTACTAGATACTGCACTCGGGAAGCGAGATCAGGATCACTCCACTACCGCGGCGCATAAGCGCGTCCGCGACACTGTATCTACCGCATCCGTGATCTCGCACGAACGAGCCGGCCTCACTCGACGACTAATGGCTCTCCATACGACGACTAATGGCTAACCAGTGTCATACGTCATTGTTGCGTCATTTTATATAAAAAAATGACGTCATTAAGTCGTCGTACATATGACGTCATTGGTCTGTGACTTAGGACCGTCAGAAAGACGTCATTATTTGGTTAACTTTGTGACGATCCGGAAATCGTCACGACGTCACGAAACAATTAATAACAAAAACGCCGAACAACCGCGCGCGGAATAACCGCAATGTCAACAAACAGTCGAAACTGTTTGTTATAATTTTGTATAAAAGCCGACGGAAAATTGATATCGAGAGAGATTGATCGGGAAGCTCCTCTCAGGCGCACGACCGACCAGAACTCGCAAGTCCTAGAGATCCTAGACATTCCGTCGACCGAAGTGGATACGCGACGTCGACATCCTCTCCGATACCGCTCTACCGACCGAAGTGGATTCGCGACGTCGGTTTCCTACCCAGACTCCACTCTGTCGACCGAAGTGGATTCGCGACGTCGACATCCTCTCCGATACCGCTCTACCGACCGAAGTGGATTCGCGACGTCGGTTTCCTACCCAGACTCCACTCTGTCGACCGAAGTGGATTCGCGACGTCGACATCCTCTCCGATACCGCTCTACCGACCGAAGTGGATTCGCGACGTCGGTTTCCTACCCAGACTCCACTCTGTCGACCGAAGTGGATTCGCGACGTCGACATCCTCTCCGATACCGCTCTACCGACCGAAGTGGATTCGCGACGTCGGTTTCCTACCCAGACTCCACTCTGTCGACCGAAGTGGATTCGCGACGTCGACATCCTCTCCGATACCGCTCTACCGACCGAAGTGGATACGCGAAGTCGGTTTCCAATCTGTGCCTCGCTCCGTCGACCGAAGTGGATACGCGACGTCGACATCCTTTTTTCCTCCTCACGCTACGCCGCTAACACCTACGATCGCGAACGCATACAGGGCGTAAGATAACGGCGACAACGAGCGCCTTTAAACCAGCAAGGAAAGACCAGGATAAATAAACAGATTAAAGCCGATGAGGCAACGAAATCCGAACGACGAACAATAGTGTATCCGGAAACAATTCCGACCGCGTCCCGCCGGCCGCTCGCGCGCCCGACGCTCGCAGCTGATCGCGAGACGACAACAACGGCTCACGACGAGAGCAAAAACGCGACCACGCGCCAACGGCGTAACGTCGCCTGTAAATAATTGTAAATAGCCTCGAAAGTAGAATATAGTTTCAATTATTATCACCTATACCACTGGTTTTCATTTCACACACGAAACCCGGACCACACCGGCTAAGACTATCCCGCACGTAACGTAAGGCCGTTACAACTTGAAAGATATATTTTTATATATAAGGACATTTTCAGGATATTGGTAGGATTAAATATTGTTATCTACGCACATCCTACTGTGATATTCAATTATTACTTCCTATGGACATTCAAAAAGCGGATATACAGATGTCCTCGGTATATCCTATATATATTTTTTGGTTTTTACGGACACGTTCTGGATATCACTAAATCCCTCGTGATACATCTACTGGATCATACCTAAGATCAATTTTTACTATATGGGTTGCATATTGCACAAATAATTATAAAGATTTTCATCACTATAAGTAAGATGAAGAAAATTGCGTAGCAACATATATATTAGACTTTTTCAGAAAAAGATAAAAATTAGACGCCAAAGTTATGCGTTTGTGCGTATGAATAGAACTATAAAAAAGCAAATGTTCCAATTAAATATATTTTATTTATAATTATTTAATTTAAAATTATTTGATTTATAATTTAATTTAATTTTAAGTTCGGTAAAAATCATATTTTAGAAAAATTACGATTTTACAAAAAATATGTATTATTCAACAATCTTAAGAAAATATTCAAAATATAATTTTAACATGATAAATCTACATTTTTGTATAAAAAAATATGAGACGTGAGAAGACATAATATTAATAGGGGAAAAGTAAAATTTTTTCTTGAAAAACATTTCATTTTCTACTATTTCGGGAGAATTATTATTACAATTATTATAAAAATCTCTGATTTTATAATAAATATAAAATGGTAAATATCTATTATACCTAAATAAAAGTTTAGACTTGTATATTATAGACTTTCATATATTATCATAATATTATATATTATCATATATTATCATAATTTTATTAGAGAAGGAAATATGATTTTTCCCTAAAGATTTCTGTATGTTTTTATGAAAAATTTAAGAATATTTTACTTTTTACGAAAACTTTAATTTTTATGTAAATCAATTTAATCAGAAATATTTTATATAAATTTTAATTTTACATTTTCCAAGTTTTTAATCGATGTAGTATCAATCGATATATATAAATTAAATTATAATTTTATATAAATTAAATCGATGTAGTATCGAAATACAAGCTATTACAACACAGTGAAATAATTAAAGATGGTGACATTTTTCCTCAATAAATTTCATAACACATTCCGTATTTGTTTCGAAAAAAATTTTTTTAGTAACTCATGAAATATACCTGAAATATACAGGATACATAAAAAGTACAGAGACGGCAAAAAATCTCGAAAACTAAGCATTTTAGGAAAAAGTATTTCAGATAAAAGTTGTAGGGTTTCAACGGATATATTTACCGATCTTATCAGCTTGACCTTGGATAGCGTCGCCAAGGTCAGGACAAGGTCATCTTAAATTTTTTAAATAGAACCCCCTATTTTTTATTGCATATTCTTGTAGCTTATCTCAAGAGCTTTTCGAAACACTATAATAATGTATTTTTTTCATTAAGTACTTTCTTTGTAATGAAACTTGAAAGTTACAGTATCGCCAGCATTACTCAAAGTGTACCACGCAGAGGTTGCTAGGTCATATTTATACCTTCGTGTATGTGTGTGTGTATATATTGTGTGTGTGTGCGTGCGTGCGTGTGTGTGTGGGTATGTGCGTGTATGCGTTTATGTGCATAGATGGATACATGGGTGATTGGGTGAATGTTTACCATGGTAAATTAAGGAACAGATAAGGACTGAGGACCGTCACAAGACAAGAATATGCAATGAAAAATAGGAGGTTCCATTTAAAAAATTCGAAGTGACCTTGATGACGCTATCTAAGATCTAACTGATGAAATCAATAAATAAATCTTTTAAAACCCTACAATTTTTATTTGAAACACTTTTCCTATGCTTAGTTTTCGAGATATTTTCCTGTTCCGATACTTTTTATACACCCTGCATATTTCTCCATTATGAATATAAGATATATTTATAAGATTGTAAAACTCAGTTTAGAAAAGTGTTGTCATTTTTATCTGCGCGACTGATCTACACGACCAACGTTGTTTGTAATGTTATCGGCAATAATCGCGAAAGTTAAAAATGCGCTTGGTCTCTGTAGAGATTTTATTTACAATAGTCTACATTATTCTATAAGTAAAAAATTCAACTAATATGTCTGACAATACACAATTTCCATTGTAATATTTGACAATATAAAATTGGAATTTATTATAAACAGTTATTACATAAGTTTAATTCTTTGTGCAGATGTAGATTTTGAACACATTGAACGTCAGTATGATACGTCTGATGAAGATTTCGAACTGCTTGGTTGACGACTACCTGGTGGACCATCTAGTATTGTAACAACGTGGAAAACAACAATCGAACATTACATAATGGTGTGCTCTTCGAAACAATTTATATTTTTTATTAACACATACATAACAAGAAACTTATTAATAGTATATAGTTATTTACATTTAAATATTCACATAAGTATAAATGTACACGAGATGTCCAAGAAAGTCGTGTACAAATTTTATATATTATATTCACTAGATCAAGCAGAGAAAGTTTACATGAATCTATATTTAAAAATATTTTAGTAAGGATTTTTAATGTTTCCGAGATTCAACTGTAATACTTAATTGTAATTTAAGATTTTTTCTTTATAAAAAGTATTCATTCTTCTTCGCAATTTTCATGGGAACATAGAACGAATTGAACCCTTATAGAAATATCATACTAAGAATCATTGATAATTACTTATTATCCAGTATTTTTAATACTGAAAATAAGTAATTATCAATGATTCTTAGTATATGATATTTCTATAAGAGAAGTAAACATAAAATCCTATATTTTACGATATTCGCAATAATATTAATTAAATATTAATTAAAGAAGACTGATGAATGATTACATGCAAATGGTAGATGAGTTGTAGTGGTGCCATTTGCCGTTATATATTATATTAGATCAAACTAAACAAAATAATTTTCTACCATTTTGTAAATGAGCACATAGATTTTTAGATATTAATTAAAGAATATTTGTGCACAATCATGTTATAATTTTCTTTCATTAACCTTCTAACAGTGTTCGTTTCGGATATACTTTGACCGTGTTCAGGGTCTAAATAGACCCAATGGTGAGAACTTACTATTTAATTGACATATATGTATTTTTTGATATCTTTTATTTTAGCATTATATAAAATAATTTAGTGCAATATGTACTGACTCTTTCTAAAATAACTCGAAAAGTCGCGAAATATCACATTTTTATTTTAGAATATTAGAAAAACTGTGTGAACTTTAAAACTGCTCTGGATCAAAAAAGACCCAGAGCACGGCTAGAAAGTTAATAACTAAAATTTTGCGTGGTTATTTGAAAAATGATAAAAAGCATTTTTGTTCAATTTAACTTAATGTACAAACACATAACATAGCTATCTCATCTATATCACGCGTGATCATTCACCAATTTTCTTTAATTAATATCTCGATTATTATTCCAAATATTGCAAAACGATATAGGACTTTTATGCTTACCTCAATCTGTTCTATGTTTTCACAAAAATTGTACCGGAAAATCTGGGACATTCTGTGTGTGTGTGTGTGTGTGTGGGTGTGTGTGTGTGTGTGTGTGTGTGTGTGTGTGTGTGTGTGTGTGTGTGTGTGTGTGTGTGTGTGT